GCATGTGTGGGTGGGAATGTATTTACCCACTTTTCGCATACCTGTCTTCTTCTTGGTCGCACGTAACATCCAATTACATGGCCAAAACCACCTGCGGAAAACAGCCTTGTATACCATCGGACTTGACTCCCATACCTGCATCTCACGACACTCTTTTACGTTGTGCATTTTAGAAGCCCTACTTACGCGCGCTTTATCAGGAAAAAGCATCCCCTTTGCAAGCACCGTTGGTCTAGACTCATCCCATATTGCTGTCCGGATTTCATCAAAATCCCTTGTGAGAGCTTCCACATTCGGCATTGTTGGCAAGTTATCAATGTAAGGAATCTCCCTTGAATGAAACGGCACTTCGAACTCGTACACTCTTCGTCTAAGGGGTCTCTCTTCAAATCAGGTCCTTCCTCCTCATCCTGCTCATCACCATCCTCACGAGAAAAGGGTGTCTCGTCTCCGTATTCATCGGCATTGTTATCGTAATCACTGTTCTGTTCCTTACTCTATGCATCTGCCAGATCCCGATGTAATACGTCGTTTTCGGGAAATTGAGTGAGTACGGATGGTTCAACTTGCTTGTTTTCACTGCACAACCAACAAAAATATAAGCTACTGAATTAATAAATGCTTTCCATATGGCTATCTCACTTCACTTACAAGTCGTAATGTGATAAAATTCCATGATGGACGTTTTCAATTAGGTGATGACTACCGGGTGGGCCACTTGTAAAATTCATATCCGGTCGGTACCCCCTATTAAATATATGAGCGTTAATACAAATTCAATACACCAAAAATATACATAGTTAACACAAATGAAAATTGAAGTTTACCACTCGTCTTGTGAATTATGGAAAGCATGGTATAAATTATTTTCTCGCTGCTCATTCGCCGGCGGTAATAAGTTTAAATCAAGGAAAACTCTTTCATCCGAAACTTGTCCGGCAAAAACTGCTCCATAATAACCACCCGATGACTGGGGGTTATCTCTGCTACGCACAACCTCGTTTTTTGGAACGTCTTCGACCTTCACGTACATCTCCAACATTGTGATTACAAGAAATTCCCGGCATTCGTCCGGAGTCCTCAGAAAATCACTCAAAGTTTCATCATCGTCGATGTTAAACTCCGAGTAAAAAGCAACCCCTTGCGGAGTGACGGAATACGAATATCTTCTGGTTATTTTAAGTATCACGGAACGTTTTCTCACACTCATTTTTTTGCATAACATCGATATCAACTTATCGTATTCCACTGTAAGTGGCAATTTAACATGACACTGAGCAGGGAAACTATAGCCCACAGAGTTATTCTCCATCACAACCTCATCCCCTCAATATAATGAAACTCTTATTCTACGCTCTTCAGACATAATGAAAAAATGCTGGAGAATTTAACAACAATAAACGTTTCAACAAGAGTATGAAAATGGCTAGCCGGGAAATTTCTACGCTATACACCTTTTGAATGAATTTCTATACAATCCTAACCTCTTTATATAGGAAATGGCTAGTCGGGATTTTATATATATATATATATATATATATATATTTATATATAGCGCCCAAAGAGTGGGCACTATACGCTTTTGAATTATTGAAGTCAGGAATTATTGGTGGGGCCACGAAAAAGGTATATAGCGCCCAAATACTGGACGCTATACATAAAGTTTTATGTATAGCGCCGGATTTTTGGGCGCTATACCTGTTAGTGTCAGTTTTTTATATATTAACGACACAATTAACGTTAATGTATAGCGCCCAGTATTTGGATGCTATATATAAAAATGTCATCTTTTTTTTTACACTTATTAAGGTGCTACTTGTCCAAAAGAATCACATTTTGGTTCTGGACTCACCAATAAGTTTGGGATGATTAGTGAGTACTAGTAAAAGTTCATTAGTTGTCAATCCTGAGTGCTTAGGAGAAAAAAATTCCAAGTAGATAACAAAAAGTTCCTGTCCTGGAATCGATATGTCACGCAATTAAAAAAAATGATAAAACCTTTAAAATGTCATTGTTACGATATATTTAAATATATTAAAGTGTCTTCCTCCTAATTAATATATATTTTTAATAGAGGTAGTTCGTAATGTGACATGTAATAAAGCAAAATAAAAATAAAAATTGTCTGACCAAGAATCACAACTTTATCAATTAAAAATGATTTTTACGTGCTTGCTCATAATAAACAACAGAATTAGCATGTGATATAGTAGTATTTTTGAAGCTTAACTAATACCATTGATAGTGTGTTTTTTATTTGAACTTTTGAATGAGGTTATGTAAAATACTCACTCGCATTCGGTATTAGCCTCAAATCTGCCTATATTACCATGATTAAGTAATTTAATCAGATAAGAATATATATTACCTAATTAAGATTAAGTGATAATATTTATGTTCAAACATCTACTGTGCAACTAGATTTTATGTAAATAGTAAGTGCCGATAGATTTTTAACATAAAATACAACACATTTATCTGGCTTAATCTGTGCCTCTTTATGAAAATAAACAACATAAAAGGTCCTTGTCCTAGAAAAAAAAAATTGTTTTTCATCACAAGTCCTCTCTTGGGGATGACTTGTGAATCAAGCCTCGTGTCTATATCTGCTCCCCCCGTCACTAAGCTGAACTTGCACTCTAGATACTCCGTCTTCGTCCTGTTCAACTTGAAACCCTTAGACTCTAAGGTCTGTCTCCAAACCTCCAACTTTTCGTTGACACCACCTAGCATCTCATCAATCAGTATTATCTCGTCAGCGAATAACATATACCGTGGTACCTCCATTGAATATGACGCGTCAATGTATCTATCACCAAAGTAAATAAGAATGAGTTGAGCGCAGATCCTTGGTGTAACCCCATCCGAATTGAAAAATGTTCCGAGTCTCCTCCCACTGTCCTCTACTGAGTTTTAGCTCCATCATACAGTTCTTAATCACTCTAATGTATGCAACATGAATACCTCTAGCCTCCAAGCATCTCCAAAGGACCTCCATAGGGACCTTGTCATACGCTTTCTCTAGGTCAATAAACACTATATGCAAATCTTTATTCCTATACCTGTACTGTTCCACCAACCTCCTAATAAGATGGATGACTTTCGTAGTTGAACGTCCCGGCATGAAACCGAATTGGTTCTCGAAAATAGAATGTCCTTCTAACCCTCGCTTCTACCACTCCCTCCCAAACTTTCATAGTGTGACTAAGCAACTTGATACCCCTATAAAGCAATTTTGGGTATCACTTTATTCTTGTACAACGGGGTCATCATACTCTATCTCCACTCCTCAGACATCTTTTTCGCCCTAAAAATAGCACTAAATAGCCCAGTTAGCCACTACAAACCAATCATACCCGCATACCTTCAGAAATCAATTGGGATCTCATCTGGCTGGTCGTTCTGTCTCTACTCATCTTACGTACCGTCCTAGCAACCTCCTTGAAACTAAAGCGCCTACAGTACCTAAAATCATAATGATTCCCGGAGTGCTCCAAATCTCCCAGCACAATGGTCCTAACCCCCTCTTCATTTAGGAGTTCATGGAAGTAAGTCTGCCACCTTCGCTTGATCTGTGCCACCTCTATTAAAACTTTTTCGTCCTCTTCTTTGATGCACCTCACTTGGTCCAGATCACGAGCCTTCATCTCCCTCGCCTTAGACAGCTGGAACAACTTTATGCCCCCGCTTTTGTCCCCCAATTCTTCCTACAAACGAACAAACACTGCAGTCTTAGCCTCTATGACCGCCAGCTTCAGCCTTCACCTCCTTCTTAGCCTTCACCTCCTTCTTAGCCTTCTTATACCCTTCTCTGATGGTCCTCTTCTCCTCTTCGTCTTTGCTCTCTACTAACTTCAACTATGCTGCTTTCTTAGCTTCTACTTTCCTTTGGACCTCATCATTCTACCACCATTCACCTTTGTGGCCTCTAGCGTAACCTTTTGAGACCCCTAACACCTCTCTCGCAACCTTCATAATGCAGCCCGCGTCCTCATCCACATAATACTCGTGTCCCCACTACTCCAAGCCCCTACAACCAACAACTTCTCCTGCAACTCCTAAGCCTTGTCCTTAGTCAGAGCTCTCCACCTGATCTTCGGTTGACCGCGCCCAACCCTCTTCTTCCTCCTCAACATGATGTCTAAGTCCATCCCTAAAAGCCTATGCTGGGTCGCGAGGTTCTCACTCAGGATAACCTTACAATTAGTACACATACCTTCATCACACCTCCTGAGAAAGAGATAGTCGATTTATGTCTTGGCCGTCGTGCTCTTTAAGGTAACCAACTGATTATCCCTCTTTTGAAAACTCGAGTTTGTTATCACCAAATCAAACGCCTTAGTGAAATCCAACAACGAAGTACCTCCTCTGTTTCTGACCCCATAACCAAAGGCGTTATGCACCTCATCATAGCCCCCAACAGGCCTCCCAATATGCCCATTAAAATCTCCTCATATGAATATCCTTTTAGTGCGCGGAGTACCACGCACAACTTCATCCAAACCTTCCCCCAAAACGCCTTTTAACCTCCTCATCCAGGCCTACTTGGGGTGCGTAAGTGATCACGCCCAATTATACCTTATAAAAAGGACTAAGCGGTCATTGCAAATATAATCTGATTTATAAGTCCGGAGTCGAATCCCACAGAGAATTAAGGCTTAGCTACAATTGTTCAATATTGCTAAGAAACATAAGTCCAAATAATTTCCTAATTATAAAGACTATAATGTGTATTTCTAACTAATTAACGAACAACTATTATAAATCAATAAAATTATCAACTAACAATGATGAAATTTGAGACAGGACTAAGGAGGTTTAGAGTTATAATTTTCCCAATTGTCGGAATCTTTCTCGCTACATCTTCTGTAATTTGCCTATCTATTCTCTACCGATCGTGAGTACTTTGGGTGTCGTAGCTCTCTCTCGAGCAACTACCACAATTTATTAAACGTATTCTCTCGAACTATGCTAGCTGGCACTAATTCACCGCTCACTACGATCGCATTAAGGTTTTGTTATCTCTAATCCCACCTTTAACCCTCCGTATTGATCTCTCACATACATTAGGAGTGATGTTGTTCAACAACTACCTAAATGCGTACTCTCTCTCTCTCTAGCAATATACACACTAAATAGGCACAGTTAATTGATAGTCATTCAATCAACAATAATAAATACGTAGTTGAACAAGTAGAGAAATACAACGACTCAATTTTATAAAAACATAACAAGAATTTATCCTACAAAAGGTTCTATCAAAGCTCCAGATAACAAATTGGCTATTCATAATTACAAAACTACAAAACTAGAATTTATAACCAATAATAAAAATAGGAAGAAGGAAGTGAATAATTCATAGAAGAATTCTTTGTGTTACTCTTGATGTGTTCTTACCTCCTTAGGTCGAAATCCCATCTCCAAAAACGTCTCATTTGGTTACTCTCTCCCGTTCAGACATGTTTAGGGAGTATTTATAGCCTAGGGTTGAAGTCCTTGAGTCCAAATCCGGGTTAGAGTCTCTTAACCCCGCGACTTTTAATTACCGGGCTATAGACCTCGCGAAACCTGGTCTGTAGCGCAGTCAAGCTGGCTATAGACCTCGTGAAGCCTGGTCTGTAGCGCAGTCAAGCTGGCTATAGACCTCGTGAAGCCTGGTCTGTAGCGCGGTCAACCTGACTATAAACCTCACGAAGCTTGGTCTGTAGCGCTGTCAACCTGGCTATAGACCTCGCGAAGCTTGGTCTGTAACATGGCTTGGGTACTTGGTGTTTTTGCGCTTCTTTCTTGCATTTTTGTCCTCTTTTTGTGCAACTTTCATTCGACTATTTCTTCTGATGTTCCTACACATAAAACAACACAATTTAGCTCAAATACCGCACAATAAATCACTAATCCAACAAAATATAGAGCGAGTAATATGCTAAGAGTATACCGTTTTGGCCTAATATCAGTAAGCGCTAATAATATTCAAAGTACGCCCTCCAACCACTAATTTAATAGCCATCAACCTATCAATTAATGGAATTGAGTACACGTTAAATAAAAACCAATCAATTTAACATGTCAACAACAGTTTGCTAAAGTGGTAATGTCTAGGTGTCAAGATTATCAAAATCCTATATTCTAACCTCCCTAAAGTAGGGTAATTTATTAATGTATTTATTATCTTATGCGATAACGCTTGATTGTATTTTGCTTGGTTTAGATATGAAATTATTTCATCTAATTGGGAAAATTCACCAACTGTAGGTTCTTGAAATTATTTATTAGTGTATTTTTAATTTTCCTAATAGTGGATTTCATTAATAATTCACACTAAAACATAAAATAAATACAACTAATCAATCGTTCAATATTTTTGTTGCAAGAACAATAGTTCATATGTTTCTTTAATTTACTCTACAAATAAAACTTTTTGATCCGGCCTCGAGAAGCTTGTATTTTTTGGATTCTTGGAACCCAACGAGTCAAGGAAGCCTATAACAAAGTAGCAAAATTCATGTCCTGCTGATTTTTAGGGCTTGCGTTAATCTGATTCAGTGTGTTCCAAAAATAATAGCACTATGCTATAATTTTAAAAAAAAATGAATTTTGAATTTTATTTTAATCGCATATTTTTATAATTACACGAATATTAGATATTTTAAGAGCACAAGTTTTAAATTTTTCGTTTCTTTTTAATTCGTGTCTTGTCAAACAAAGAGAGGATTCTAATTTGTTTGGACAAATGAGAAAATAGGATGGAATGGACAAATATCAACATCTTGAACATGTGCCTCGTTTTCTTTGGCATATTTGGCATTTAAATGGATAACGATAGGGACTTTACACTCCACACCTGTAATACCACAAATCTGGAGTCGGAACCCAATTGTGGTTCTTTTGAACTCAAAATATATAAATAGGTGAAAAAAAATGGCATTTTTAAATATATAGTACCAAAATACTTGGCACTATACATTAACAGTAACTGTGTCGTTAATGTATAGCGCCCAGTATTTTGGCACTATACTGAAAAAGCTGACACGCCCAAGTATAGCGCCAAAATACTTGGCGCTACCCCTTTTTAAAAATCGAACTGTCTTCTTCATCGTCGTTCTGGTTCTTCTTCCTCAATATTTTACTCCTTCTTCTTCTTGGTCCCCCACTCCCATACCCGTTGCCCCACTATTTTAAAAAAAAAATCTGGGTCCCCCTGTCACATAAAAGGTGAAGAACATAGGTCCCACATTCGAGTAGAGCTTCGTATTATTGTTGATTCACACTTTCGGAGTCAAAATTTCAATCTATTTACTTTCCGAAAATTCTAAATCGAGGTATTTCAGTTTATTTTAAGTTGAAACTTTTATAATAATGCATATTATTTGATTTGTATGTGTTCTATTTCGGTTTGTGCTTTTTTTCCAGAAACTAGCTTGTTAAATTTATCCGGATTTAATATTAGTGTTTTATAAAAAAAAATATAAATTTGTCAAATAAATTTGTCTGTTAATATCCCGATTTATATATATCTGTTTTCATGCCGTTTTGTGTTTTATTTGCAATTAAATTTATTTGTTGTTTATGTTTAGTTTAGATTATTTTTTAGTGTAGTAAAATCTAGACCTTTTTAGCGTATTAAAACGTAGACCCTTTTAGCGTAGTAAAATTTAGAGCCTTGTAGCGTAGTAATGTGTAGTATTTTAGCTTAGTTCACTTTTTATGTGACGGGGGGACCCAAAAAAAAAAATTTAAAATAGTGGGGCAGCGGTTATGGGAGTGGGGGACCAAGAAGAAGAAGAAGTAAATATTGAGGAAGAAGAACCAGAACGACGATGAAGAAGACGGTTCGATTTTTAAAAAGGGGTATAGCGCCGAGTATTTTGGCGCTATACCTGGGCGTGTCAGCTTTTTCAATATAGTGCCAAAATACTGGGCACTATACATTAACGGCACAGTTAACGTTAATGTATAGCACCAAATATTTTGGCACTATATATAAAAATGTCATCTTTTTTTTTCACCTATTTATTTATTTTGAATCCAAAAGAACCACAATTGGGTTCCGGCCCCCCACAAATCTCTCCCACACCCCACTAAAAAACTTTCATCAAACTATATAGGAACTTTTTCTATTTCTCT